AATATTGACACGTTTTTTGTGGACTTTTATGGACCTTTCTGCCTCGGGCGCCATAGACCTGTAAAAGAGTTTTTGAAAAAACTAAATTTTGGAAAACATTTCTTTAAAAATAAATATGAAAAATTAATTCTTCCTCGCCTTTAAATTTGATTTCATTTGATCAAAATTTTAATTTACAAAACATGTTTTTAGTTTGTGACAGTAATGGAACAAAATTCCCTCCATACATGCCTTAACCAAAGTGATAAACTTTTAAAGAGTAGCATTACTTTACAGTCTAAACCGTGTCTATTTGATATAAAGTTCATCTGTGAAAAATGACGAGGCTCCTTCCTGTCTCCTCTCTAACCCAACAAACCAAGTCATAATGTTTAAAAAAATGTTTGGTTAGAGTTACCTAGTTACCAGTTAAAGAACCGACCCAGTAGGTTAAAGCGACTGGAACGAGAAGCTCCTCAATCAAAGCTAGATTCCCACACTGCTCCTATTTTAGACCCAAAAGAAAGAACGCTTCTGTTTCCATGACAAAAAAACAGCAGTTCTCCTCAAAATAAAAACAACCATGGTGAGAATGGGGTCAGTAATGCATAACACGAGAACACGCACACAAACAGACACAATGGAGTATTGCATAAAAAGGAAACTGCATTACATGAAGGAGAAATGAAAGGAAGCTGAGTTTGAATCTCTGCTGCCCCCTGCAGGGGAGAGCGTCCCAGTGGAGGAGCAGTTTGATAAGGAGAAGGCGAAGGCTGAGGTGGGGGCCCTGGATGCTGCACTCAACAACGATAAGGCTGCACCCCAACCCTCCCTGAGCAGCCAGCCTGGACCGGCTCTCACAGGGGCAGAGAAAGAGAAGTATGAAGCAGAGGTGGCCAAACTCTACAAGGAGCTGGACGACAAGGTAGGAAACTCTAGATTAGTTAAGAGGACTTTAACTAACTGATTGACTTCTATGTCTTCCTTCCTTGCCTCCAGGATGATGAGATCAACCAGCAATCCCAGGAAGTGGAGAAACTGAAGCAGCAGCTGCTGGACCAGGAGGAGGTGATGCATCTCTATCTGCTCCTTCCTTTATGTCTCATCGTTAGCTGCAAATCCTGTCAAATCACAGTGAGCACGTATTTTCCTCGCCCACCAGCTGTTGGAGTCGTCCCGCAACGACCACGACACCCTGCAGACGGAGCTGAACAGGCTGCTGTCCGAGAACGAGGCCTCCAAGGACGAGGTGAAGGAGGTGCTGCAGGCGCTGGAGGAGCTGGCCCTCAACTACGACCAGAAGAGTCAGGAGGTGGAGATTAAAACGAGGGAGTTTGAGGCGCTCAGCGAGGAGCTGAACCAGAAGTCTGTAAGGGAGCGAAAGCCTCCGATGCTTTGAAGTTTGATCTTCTTTCCTCCTTTAAAAGGAGCGCTTCTGTCCATCCTCAGAGCAGCTTGGCCTCCATTGACTCTGAGCTGCAGAAGCTGAAGGAGATGAGCAACCACCAGAAGAAGAGGGTCACTGAGATGATGTCATCGTTACTAAAGGACCTGGCTGAGATCGGCATTGCTGTGGGAAGCAATGACATGAAGGTGCCCCTCTGCCCTCCTGTTTTAGCTGCTTCCCTCTGGGATCTACCACTAGTTAAACACGTTGGACTGAATATGCTGAGATTTTTGCTATTAACTTAAAAATGACAAATTACAATATATATAACCTCTCAAAACCTGTTTACAAAATGCATCAAAATCAAACTGGTAAAATGTTTACCAATACAGACATGATAGAAATAGTTGGAAAGCTTAGATTCTCCACAATTTAACCACCAAGTTTATTTAATGGACACAGTGAGCACTAAAGCACAATTAACCCAGATATAGCAGCGTGTCAAAATGTAAACAAACAAAGCAGCCACAATAAAAGCAAGCATGTCTTTATTACTGCTTTTAAAAAAAGACCTATTATTTTAGAGAATAAAAAAAAAAAAAACTTTGAGTCACCTTTGAACTGATGCAGCTTGGGCTGTGTTTTACTCACCTGATTTATATATTCATAAGCTATAAGATGTTAGCTTTCGAATAATGTATCACACATGTAATGTGGGCTTACAGTTTCCACTTAGGAATGCAAAATAGGCGAGAATTTTCCAAAATCAGGTGGTTGTTAAGAGGATAAACTCATCAATATGCCCCAAAATTTATATATGCTTTGTTATATTTGTCGCCCATGGAGGTCTCCATATTTTCACCTGTGCAATGCATGCTGGGTTGATGACGAATTTAGGTCCAACTGGACTGGAACCTACAGAGTAAACACTGGAAGGCTAACATTAGCAGAGGAGAAACAAAACTATTCCTGTTGTTTTGTTACTCATTTCTTTCTTTCAATGTATCACATAAAATCCTGGTAAAATACTAAGAAGTCTGTAAATTTTAGTCTGACAGAATTAAGTTTAATGTTGTATTATTCAAGCCACAAGATGGCGCTCCTTGATTTTTTAATTATTTTTTTTTTCATTCCTATGTGGCTCATTTAATTTTACTACATCTTTGGATTAAATGGTACAGAAGAGGATTAGGACCACTGGAAAAAAGTTAACTGATTTTTAAATTTTATTTCAGTTAATATGGGAAAAAAGTCTCAGAATTCTGACTTTTTCTCGGAATTCTGACTTTTTTCTTGGAATTCTGACTTTTTTCTCGGAATTCTCTCTTTTTTCTCGGAATTCTGACTTAAATCTCAGAATTCAGACTTTTTTTCTCAGGGTTCTGACTTTTTTCTCGGAATTCTGACTTTTTCCTTGGAATTCTGACTTTGATCTCAGAATTCTGACTTTTTTCTCAGAAAAAAAACAAAAGTGAAAATTCCAACCTTTTATTTATACGGAAGACGATTAGGGCCACTGAAAAAAAGTTAACTGATTTTTAAATTTTATTTCAGTTTAAAATGGGAAAAAAGTCAGAATTCTGACTTTTGTTCCCGTAATTCTGACTTTAATCTCAGAATTCTGAGTTTAATCTCAGAATTTTGCCTTTTTTCTCAGAATTCTGACAGCTAACAAACATGTTAGCATCAAGCCATAGCCATGTCTGTTTTAGAGACTAGCTCTCTTGTTTTAATGACCTTCTGCTCCTCCATTAATGAGGGGACCCCTCGGGCACATAAAAAGTTGCCTAATTCCGTCATTTTTCACCAAAGTGTCGCTGGCCCTCTTAAACAACTCACATCTTTGTCAGTGAAGC